AGAATCCTTGCTCCTAGCTTGCGCCTTTTTTCCTATATAAGGACCCCTTTTCCCTTGGCTCGGGGCGCTTAGCCACACAGAAGCTAAGTCGCCCCAGGTACCTGCGTCTCCAATAAAGCCTCTTGTTTTTTGCATCCAGTTCGTGGCCTCGCTGATTCCTGGGTGTGTGGGTCTCCCTCTACGAAAGTATCCCTTCGGGGTCTTGCATGGTGTGATTTGAATGAGAAATGCCCCCTATAGGCTCAGATGTCTGAATACTTGGTCCCCAGTTGGCAGCTGTTTGGGGAGGTTGTGAAATCTTTGGGAAGTGAAGCCTCATTGGAGGGAGTAGTCACTGGGGTGGGCTTTGAGTATTTATATGCTCCCCCCACTTCCTGCTCCCCCCTTTCTCTTTCTCTCTTTCTGCTTCCTGTTGTCAAGCTTCCCAAACATCATGGACTCTTACCCCTCTAGAACCATAAGCCCAAATAAACAGTCTTCTGCTTATTGGTCATGGTGTTTTCTGTTGTTGGTCATGGTGTTTTTTCACAGCAACAGGAAGGTAGCTGATACAACAGTCTCTGTGACTGCCCTCTGACCACCCCACGCAGAGGCTTCAGAACTCCTTCCACTACACTGAAAAGTCTTCCAAGTCTCCCCAAGCCATCATTATGTGACCATAACCTGCCAATTGGATGCACTTAAGACTGTTGCCAGGGTACAATTCTGGGTCCTTTTCTAACATTGTTTTCCTTGCTCCCTGAAAGTTTCTATTCTTCTGCCCTACTTCCCTAGCTTCCTTTAGACTCACCAAACAGTTCTATGTTTCTGTGGGGCAAATTCCTCTGGGGCACAGGGGGTGGGGTGGGGGAGTGTCCGTAACTTTAGCCTGATTTTATCTTCAGACTTTTTTTTTTTTTTGCTGGCTCAAAAATCATTTCCTAGCCTACCTTGAAGCTTGGAGGGCCTGGTGATTAAGTTCCTAACAGAGGGATGCATACAGAAGAATCAGTTGAGATTTTCAAGAGAATGTACCACTTAGTCTCCTCTTTGCTAAATGTGTGTGTGACAGCCAGAACTTTACCACTACAAGCTGATCTTGAGAATGGAGGTCATGTACAGCAGAGAAGATACAAGGGGGACATTTGGAACTCTGTTTTCTTCTTTCTAGTTTGGACTTTGCTTACATGACAGAGCAGAGCCCCGTGTGTTTACCATCTTGTAATAAATAAATATATAGAAATGCTCTGCAGTAAAGCTCCTTTGACTTAATACCTGCAGGTTGGGTTATGTAGCCAGGTCTCACTATCTCCACTTCTACTGCTCTCTCACCACAGTCTTATGCCACATGTATAGGGACACATGTTTTGTCTGCTTTTTTCATGATCCCATCAAGTCTGCATGTCATCCAATGCTTCTGCCTCTGCTACTCCCTCAGCCTGGGATGTCCTTCCTAACCTTGTCTCTTTGGGTGGCTCCATGTCAAAATTACCTGTTTACTTGTCTGTTCTCCACCAGACAGGTACAACCTGATATTTAGCATCTGCTCCAGGTGTGTGCTCCGGGCTGAGTGCATGGGGTTTGAATGAGGAAACAGAGTGGATGTTGCAGACTCAGGAGGTGGGACTGACTTTACACTCTGAAACCAGATCCCTCAGTTTCTTCCCACCACCTGCTGCCCCCCTGGCTTTTTGCAGACGCAGGGGAGGGGGCCATGTGTTAGCAGAGCATCTTCTTGCCACAAGGCAGTGCCATCCCTTATACATGCCAGCACAGGCCTGATTTTGAATGGACCGTGTCAGACTTGAAGGTGTTCAGAATGTTAACTTGACTACCTCAAAAAACAAGTACAATAGTAACTGATTATTACTTCCCTCTCTACAAGTCTGTACAGATACAAAAGGCTGGATAAAATGAACACATTGGGGAGAAGCATGAAGTTGGCCATATGTGGTGCATTTCTATCACTCTGCATGCTCCAAGCTTAGGTGTGGCCATTCCAGTGACTTCCTCCCAAAGCACAAGGTTTGGACATCAGGGAGAATGACAGACATAACCAACCTCCAGGCAGCCACAGTTGATAACAACAGGCACATGTCATGTTAACAGCGTGTCCTTAGTATGCTGTGACAGTGATAGTTTCCTTGGGGTCTTCTTCCCAATGGCCAATAACACCTGTCTTTTCATAGGCAGAACGTCAGACAAATGCTATTAGTGAGTGGCCATAGAAAATGCCCAACAGGACCCCCTCAACACTCCACAAAAAAGCAAGACACACTGGGCATGTTCTTATAAAAAAAATGTAGCCTTGCCTTTAATCCCAGCACTCAGGAGGCAGAGGCAGATGGATCTTTGTGAGTTTGAGGCTAGTCTGGTCTACAAAATGAATTCCAGGATAGTTAGGGTTCTGTTACATAGAGAAACCCTGTCTCAGGAAAACAAAACAAAACAAAACAAAAAACAAAACAAAACAAAACAAAAAAAACAAGGCCAAAGATGCCACTAGGTGGGCTCTGGAGGGACTATTTATTGATGGGCTCTTGCCAAGCTGGGTGCTGTTCATGGAGATACCCCAGCCCTTCTGCCTCTTGTCTGTGAAATCCAGACACATGTCCGTAAGCATCAGCTATGACCCTGTCTCAAAGAAAACTCCAGTCTTATTTATCAGCTCCACGCTCTAACCAACTGAGCTAGCCGGCCAGACTCCATTCTTATTTATATTTAATATAAGATTTTGATACTCATAAATTATAGTTTTACTTAGCTTTTTTGTTAAATAGAAGTTTATAAGATATACAGATTCTTATTTCATAAACAGAGGAAAATGTATTTTCTCTTTTTGAGACAGGGTCTCACTGTGTAGACCAGACTAGTCTTGGAATCACAAACCTCCACTTGCCTCTGCCCTCTGAGTGCTGGGATTAAAGGTGTGTGTCACCACACCTGGCCAGAAGATGTTCTTATTCACATTGCCTTTAGTATATCCTTCTTTGGTGGAAACCTGTTCTCATGTGTACATATTGAACAGACTCACACCTTAATTTTTTTTTAGACAGGGTTTCTCTGTATTGTTTTGGAGCCTGTCCTGGAACTCGCTCTGTAGACTAGACTGGCTTGGAACTCACAGAGATCCACCTGCTTCTGCGCCACCAACGCCCGGCACACCTTAATTTTTATTTTTGTGTATGTTCATGTACAAGCAAATACATATGGAGGCCAGGGGTCAATCTCTGGTGTCATTCACGAAGCACTGACACCTTGTGTTTTGAAACAGGGTATCTCATGTTCTGGATCTTGTCAAGTAAACTAGACTGGCTGGCCAGCCAGCCCCAGGAATGCCTCTGTGTCTTCTTCCTCAGTGCTGCAATTAAAAGTAGGAGCCACCTTGCCCAACTTTTACTGGGATAACAAGGGGTCAAACACAGGTCATCCTGCTTCTATGACAGACACTTTACCAACTGAACGATCTTTCCAGTCCTACCTTTTGTTTTTTAATCTTTGTAACATGGTGCTGCTCATGGTGAGATACATGGAGCACAGTGGGGCCTGAATGTGGTGCCAGTCCACAGTGAATCAAGGATGGAAACAAAGCTCTTTACAAACTGCCGAAGCAACTTCACAGAACTTTCAGCTCCAGTTCCTGGGCTTGCAGCCTTCCTTTCTCCTTTCACAGATGAGAAAATGAGCAGGAAGGGTGACCAGCCTGTCCATTGGGTTGTCACGTGAGGAAGGTGGGTCTGCTGGGTCACACTCTTCCTGCTTCTTGCTCTCTTTTCCCTAGTTTGTCAACATTAAGGGTCAGCTTCCCCTTCAGCAGGTCATTACTAGACCAAACTGTGATCCTGTATCTGTTCCTAGTTTTTCATTTTTTCTTATTCCAGCTTCTTTGGGCAAAGCTGCAGGTTGTTCAGTGCTGTGATGGGCTCAGTAACCCGACTCAGCGTCCTTCATCATATCAGCTTCCAGCCCTCCTCAATGTACATCTAGTTTTAAATGTCTGTTTCTGCTTTCCTGCTGTGAGAGAGCTCTTCCCGGAGGGAGTTCTGGGCAGTCAGGGGTGGGGGTGGGGTTGGGGTTGGGGGTGGGCATTTCAAGAGGAACTGCTTGGGGGCCTGTGCAGCTGCTCTGTCAGAATACAGGAAGCCCTTCCTGAGAGCTTCCCACGCCAGGGCACTATTGGCCCATCTGCTGCAGTGCAGGAAGAGAGAAACCAAGTTGTACTGTTTTGTTTTCTTGCAAGGGGTTTGAGAGCAGAAGATTGCTCTAGGGGTGAGAGTGGGGGTGGGTTGAGTGAAGCTGACTACCGGGCAGAGGGAAGCAGGCATAGAGACTCTGCAGCTGGAAGGAAGCAGGCTTGAATTTCAGCCTGGCTATTTTTATCCTGAGACACAGTTTTCACACCTGTGAAATGGTGTTGATAATAGGTGGTCCCCTGCAGGTATAAGTTCCATTTTAAAGATGCAGACATTCTATCACATGCCCAGGGCCCAACAGTTGGTGAGCAGCTGAACTTGACGTTTGGTTGGGTCAAAACTGATAGTCACCTGATTCTTCCACCTGAGCACTTAGGCATCCAAAGTATGTCAAGAAGATAAGGGCTTACAACATATTGTTGCCTTGGCTGGGATTTTTCATTTGAGTATTTTCCTGTCTCATCTGCATCACCCACCCTTCCCTATTTTCATTTGTTAAAAATAATCAACGCTGCCTTCAAGAACATGAATTTTAGATGTCATCATAAGTCTAGGAAGAGGACTGCTTCAGCAAGCTGTTGCTGTGTAATGAACTACCTCAGAGTCTGAGGGCTTAAAATAATCTAAATTTTATTTGCTCACTGTTGTGCTTCAGATGAAAACAGCCCCAAAGGCTCATATAGTTGAATGCTTAGTTATTAGTTGGTTGAATTGTTTGGGAAGGATTAGGTAGTGTGGCCTTGTTAGAACTGTGAGTTTTCAAAAACTAGCATCATTCCCAGTTAGCGCTCTCTCTTCCTTAAGCACGTGGATCAAGAGGTAAGCTCTCAGCTAATGCCCCAGCATCATGCTCCTTGGGATGATGGCCATGGACTCTAACCCTCTGGAACTGTAAGCCCCATTGCTATCTTTTATAAGTTGCCTTGCTCATGGTGTTTTGACAAAGCAACTAAGCCATAATTTGGAGGTTTGAACTGGATTCAGCTGGACATTACTTCACTGGTCTCTGAAGGCCCCACATGACTGATATTGGCTGACCAACTGGCTGGGGCTGGGTAGCTAGACACAGCCTCACTCACAAGCCTGGCGGCTAGCAGCTTGTTGTCAGGAAGCTAGCTGTGGCCCCTTTGGCAGGGTTAAGAGAACTGCATGGCCTGTACTTTGTACTATATCACCCATGATGCATCATATTGTTCAAAGCAAATGGTCAGATCTATTCAGATTCAAGGGATGAGAACTGGATTCTGCCTCTTCTTGGGAGGCCTGTCAAAGACTTGGTGCCCCCCCTTTTTTTCGAGACAGGGTTTCTCTGTGGCTTTGGAGCCTCTCCTGGAACTAGCTCTTGTAGACCAGGCTGGTCTCCAACTCACAGAGATCCACCTGCCTCTGCCTCCCAAGTGCTGGGACTAAAGGCATGCGCCACCAGCGCCTCACTTGGTGGCCCATTTTAGTTTATCACAGAGTGCTACCTGTCCTCACAGACATTTTTGATGCAAACCCTTTTGTGTCATCACTCTCTTCCAGTCTCTCCTACTCTTCCGATAATAATCTCTCATTTTACGTCACACAAAGCTTCAGTCACTCACTCAACAGATGTTTATTATGTGCCTGGGACTGCTGAGTGAACAAAACAAAGTCCATGTTCCATGAATCTAGTAGTTCAGAATAGAGGCAATCAAGAAACAGACAGGAGCAGTGTTGAGCTGGTGAGAACAACAGGAGCTTTGGAGACAACAGAGTAAGCAGTAGGGGAGCATGGATGGGAGGATGGTAGGGCAATGGGTGGCTCCTATTCCAAAGTGATCAGCTGACATTAGGGACAACTTAAATAGGGGTGAACAAGAGGTACAAGGACTCTGAGTTGATGCAGAGACACAATCCCTTATAATTTTAAACACCAGATAAATATCATAGGCTGGGTATAGTGACACAACCTGTAATCCCAGCACCAGGGAGATGTAAGTAAAAAGATTTGGTGTTCAAGGCCATCCTCAGCTACATAGGAAGTTTTAGTTCAGCCTGGGCTAAACGAGACCATGTCTCAAAAAATCCCAAACATTGGAGCTAGAGAGATAGCTCAGTGACTAAAGAGTATTCATTGTTTTTGCAGAGGACCTGGGTTCTGTTCCCAGCACCAACATGATGGCATATAACTATCCTTAATTTCACAAGAGTGACAATACCATCTTCTGACCTCTGTGTGCACCAGCAAGCGTGTGATACACACCTATATACATTCAGGCAAAACACTAATACACACACAATAATATAAATAAACCTGGATAAAAAAAGCAAACATAACCACACTACTAGCCCAAATCCAAGCTGAATGCACTTCATTAGGAAACAATAAAAAAGCCCTAAAATATGGCAAAATCTCGACAACCAAAAGTTTTATTATTATACCTGATTCTGTTATGAGTAAATTACAGCTCTTAGGAATGTAATGGTTGGCGGTTCTGTGTTCACCTTTCACTGCCTGTCTCACTTGTTTATTGGCTTGTGGTGAAGATAAAAATGACATCATTAAAAAGGAGAGTTCCCCGCTTCTGGTTTCTTTTCGTACCGCAAGGATGCCAGTGATTTTTTTTTTTTTTTTTTTTTTTTTTGAGAACACAAACCAGTCACCACTTCCTGCTTAAGACTCTCCATAGTGTCCCTGCGCAAAAAAACAAACTCAAGGCAACCAGGCACAGTTCACAAGGCCAGCGCCACCTGCTTGATTCAGGCTCTCACGTTTCCTGGTAGGTTCCGCGCTGGAGCAGGATCTTAACCCAGCAGACTGGCACAGTGGCTCTCTAGTTTGCGCCCTCTTGTCCACATAGTGTCCCAGGAAGACTTTCCCAGTCTTACGACCTATAGGGGACAGGGGAAGGGAGCAGCAGTGTGAGTGGCCTCAGGCGCTCTCCACAATCCTTCGGACTGCCTTATTCTCTGCCCCCAGGTTCCCCATCTACAGTAGGCTCATGAACCTCTCTCGGAGCGGTTCTGAAGGCTGGAGAAGGTCAGGGCGGCCGTGGACGCTGCCGAGGAGCTCCGAGGACTATGTGGGACACGGGCCTGGCCCGCAG